CGAGCAACATACACAGTTGGGGAACGCCTTATTTTGTAGCTTAAAGATTTTTCTTTCAAATGGTAATTAAGCAAAGCCTAGCTCTACCCTAAGGACCTGCTCCTAATTCGTGCCAAAAAAAGCCCCTTTGTACAAAAGTGGCGTATAGCTAAAACATTATGTTACTTAAACTAATCGACTGGTAGACTTTGCTTAATTACCATTTGAAAAAAAATCTTTAAGCTACAAAATAAGACGTTTCCCAATCCTGTACGTTGCTCGGCTGAAGAGTTATCTATCTCACAAAACGTGACGGACTTACGTAAAAGTGGACTTTTACGTGGAATGGCCGTGTAGCACTCTCATCTCTAGAAGTATTCTGTAATGTGTTACCTGTATATTTTAAGCTGATGAGGAGACAGATGATTAAAGCAATAACTCTACATTCACGACTTCTGTATCATCCCTTGTCATCCTTATTTGCAAAACCAGAAAAGGGAACAATATTCGCAAAATTAAAGAAAATTATATCAACAGTCAGCAGCGATAATAATCCCATGAGTGAACTGATAAAACATTCAGAAATGCATGTGCTATTTGAACCATGTGCTACGGCAGTTGATGTGATAATTTCAAATGATGAGCTAGCATTGAATGAGGAACAAGAACTGCTAGAAAAAATTGATAACACAACTATGCTTTTGATCTATACCGATGCCTCTAAACAACATGATGAAGTAGCAGCAGCCATGACGATAATGACAAAAGCTGGTGATGAGTTTAGATGGGAGGATTATGGCATGTATTTAGGACAAAAATACTCCGTGTATCATGGCGAGCTGTTAGCGATACAACTTGCTCTAAAAATTCTAGTAGATATATCACCTTCATCAAAACAAATTACCCTTTTCACGGATAACTAGTCAACATTAAAAGCCATAGCATCTAACAGGCAGACGAGTCCATTGATTCACGATATTCGAAAAACATACGAGATATTAAAAGAAAAAGACAACAGTATGATATTTAGATGGATACCGGGACACTTATCGTCAGTTGGTAACAACAGAGCGGACTTCATTGCTAAACAAATAGTTCTCACTCAGAAATCTATTAACATTGATCATCTGATTAATACCAATAAGCCAAAGTATACCAACATGGAGATTAGTAGTGAAATATATAAATGTATCAAAAACCAATGGAAAGAGGTGTGGAAAGACGAGTCGACTGCAAGATTGTATTACCAAACAAATCCAGATATTGAAAACATACGGCTTAAGGACATAATTGGCAATAGAAAAAGACAGACCCTTCTGTTTCGATTCCTTCTCAATGACTTGTCGATAAATGCAACTTCATTTCTGAAAGGAAAGACAGACAGTCCATTTTGTAAGCATTGCAACATTCAACTGGATACACGACGTCATTTGTTGTTAGACTGCATGTTTTATGAACCATTGAGAACAGAGTTATATCATGGTATGGCTATATACACAACTAGCCATTTCAATGAAGTGATTAAAAATGAAAAACTGTACAATACAATAAGTGTTTTCTTTATACATACAAATAGATTCTGATATAGACACTTGAAAAAATACGTGACTCACATAGACCGCAATGCGAACATGCGAAGCGGCTTAAAACCAAACAAACAAACAAAGTGAGTAAATTTACCATCGTTCCATTATTAAAGATTTTGAAATTCTTTTGCAGGCATGGAACGAAAACTACCAACTGATATCGAAGCACTCTTCTATATCAACAGCTGAGAAATTCACTATGAATGATCTCGTTTGTCGAATGATCTGCTCTGTTAAAACGGAAGATTGCTACATTGGTGAATGCGATAATTGTCCAATAGTACAACTCGCAAACATTCTCACTGAGCACATTGAAATCGACCTTGATGAAGAATGCTCATGGACCATTTGGAGAAAACTGAACACCAAATTCGATCTTCATAAAGTGACTGGTTCTATCGATTCTCTGCTAAGTGAAGTTGAAGAGCAATGGCCTCACTTTCTTCAATATACCTATTACAATCGACAACAATGAGAATACCTCAAGTATCTTCGAACACAATCGACTAACAAGAGCTTCATCATCGCGAAGATCGATTTCTTCATGAATTACACCCTCATTCGTCAGAGTGAAGTTCAACAGGGTTTCTTTTCTCAAAATCAAGCCACTCTCTTTACCGTACATCTGATCATCGGAACAGAGCATCAAGATATGGCTATTGTTAGCGATTGTACGGAGCATACCACCAGCATTCGTCTATTGCGCTCAAAGAATGATCGTCAATTTCGTGAAGAATCATTATCCCCTCGTTAAGAAGATCAACTATTTGAGGTGAGTATTTTGCACAAAATTGGATTTTATTCCTTTCTCTCCGCATGAGCTTGTCATATGTCTGTCACAACAGCGAATGAAAAGATACTCAAGACTGACAAACCAGTGTTTCTTTTAAATAATAATCCTTAAATTTTGACTGTTTTTATTAGTGATGAGGCCAGTGCGCATTTCAAAAACAACCTGAGTACGCTTAATTTGACACATCACAATACAGACTTTGGTCTGGATGCTGCATGGACTTTTACAGGGACTGGTCATGCTGGGGACGGTTTAGGTGCTTTTCTTAAGTCCACTGCGAGACGTGCAACCCTCTCGAAAAGTGTTCATCTCCCCTCCCCGAAGGATTC